TCACTCGATGTTTCCACGGGAGATGCAATGTAGGCATGTTTCATAGTTACAGTTTATCTAACATCTCCGCCCTCAAATCGGCAACTATTTGAGAACTTGGAGCGAAAATGTTGCTGACTTCGGGCTCCGATGCTCTACTTCTTCAGGAGACTCGTTGATACGATTTTCAGTTGATGTTTCATCTTTACTTGCGGGATTCTTAATTTTCAGTCGCGTACAAAGGTTACTACGCCATATAATAATTATAGAAGTCAGTATAGCTGCGCTCAATAGTATTCCATAGAATGGTATAGTCGTGTGGTACAATTGGTTGTTAATATGGTCTATTTTAATTGGTTGCTGCATTAGGATCTTATCTTCGATGTCATTTAGCCCCTTTAGATTTATTGAATTAAGTTTTATATGTGGCATTTGCATGGGGCGGTTAACTTGGTAGTCGTAAGGTATATCTGTTATCAGTAAGGGTTGTCCTTTGGTTTGATCGTTGATATTGATAATAGTAAATTCTTCAGTGCGCATAAGACATTTTGGTGGCAGGGTAGCAAGATAGCTTCCATGCAGGGTGATGAACTCCTGTCGTCCGCATTGTAGCTCCGTCTTAGTCGGTTGTGGGAAGATAAGCGTGTAGTGTTGGTCGTCTAGCTGCTCCATGGCTCCCTTTTCGAGACTTACTTTGGTAGGCCGGCACGATTTGTCTAGGGATTGGTGGATGATGATACCTTGTATGCAATCTGGATGTCCTCTTGGGAGATGATTGACCTTTTCCTCGCAAAGGTACTGGTGGTTGAACTTCGGGCATTCAGCCTCAATGTACATGAAAGTTTTGCTATTGGTTGCAAGGAATGGGTAAGGGGGAATAAAGGTCATGAAATTTTTGTTAGGAACAAGGGACAGCTTATAGAAATCGAATTGACCTGGGGAAATTATTGGAACTTTAAATATAATGACTAGATATCCTTTTTCCTGCATAATAATATCCGGATTTTATTATGTTATAATATTCTCTCAAGTCTCCTTCTAGAACTTGGTCCTGATTATATACTGATTTAAGTTTACTTATCATATTTCTTAAATTTTCTACACTTAGCATACTATGATGGGTGCTCGATGCACGTATAAAAGCTAAGATGTCCTCTATCCTAGTTAATTCTATGAACAGATCTTCTGCGTTTTCGCTGATTATCGTCAGTAACTGAGCGAACTGCGCGTATTTAAGAAGACTGTTATCGCTGTATATACTATTATTTAAAATTAATTGCAAACTATTATTAATTCTCTCCTGGTTTTCTACTATTTTCGTAAGTAAAGTGGAGTGCCGTTTCATCCATTCTTTGTTAAGACTAATATGATCATTTACTTCGGACAGTAATTTCTGGTCGCTATTTTCTAAAATTTGTATAGCATTATTATATTTTTCAGCGTCCGTATGATCTAAATTACCGGTAATACTTTTGATTAATGATCCTAGACCGTCTAGAAGACCTCTTTTACTTCTTAAGGTATTGAGCTCTAATGTATTAAGTTGATTATGAATTTTATCCAACTTAGTGAATAGATATCCTATTTGTAGTTCATATAAGAAGTATGTATTATTATCTAGCTTAGCTTTGAATAGTGTGAGTTGAGAGTCTATAGAGTCAAGTCTGGCTTTAATGTCAGTCATTTCAATAAATTGTAGGAAATAATTTTTTTTATTATTATTTATTTACTTATATACATTTTTACATTCGTTTATACGACACTGAAACCCTTGAGGGGTTTAAAAGTGTGTCACGTCTGACAAATTTCACGTTGGATAACAAATCTAATACTAAACTAAACACTAAACACTTACATTTACATTTAATACAAAAACATGAAATGACTCTAAAAATAGATAATAAATATTAAACAATATTAATAATAATACACAATTAATACGAATGATAGTGCGTAGTAAGTCTAGCTTGTCCAAGTTTAAAAGGCAAAATACCAGGTCCATTGTCAAGGTTCTCCAGTCTTATCTCGTGAGCCAGTGTCAGTCGAATGATCGTCAGGAGTAGTCTGTAACAATTTTGCTGATTTAGGCACACGTTTGAGTCGGGATTTTGCTATGGGGCCTTTCTTTCTAGAAGTGTAAATGTGTATAGGCAAATCGGCAAGGACGGTGTCTTGGGTGTAGCGATTAGCGAGCTTATTTCTGTTAGCTACAGGATTGGCTACAAAAACCTGTTGGTCTGGCTGATATTCGATTTCGGGTTCCCTATTTCTATTCCTATTGTTAATGATGTTTGTTCGATTTTCTAATGAAGACTCATTTATTTTTCATATACAATCTTCATTCGATCTTTGTGTGTTAATATATACTGTTGCATCAGGTGTTCGGACATATTGATGTCAGATGGGTCTCTTGGGTCGAAATGTCCTCGAATTATATCGTGAGGCCTACATTTTGTAAAGCTGTGTACCGAACTATTGTAAGCTAAAATTGCATATGGCATCCAATTAATTATTGGTTCGTCCTTCTGTCGGAGTCGTAAAATTCTCAAGTGCTCTAGTAAGGTCGAGTAAAATCTCTCTATTATTCCATTGTCGTTGGGGGCGTGAGCTAAGGTCCTGTAGTGATTTATTTTGTGTAGTCTTGTAAATTCGGCAAACATTTGGTTAGTAAATTCAGTCCCATTATCCGTTATTATTGTCAGAGGTAGTCCATGGTGCGTACTGTACTGTAGTAATCCTTGTAAGATGCTGATAGCCGTACCATCTCTTAAGTGATAGGCTTGTCCATATTTAGAAAACACGTCTACAAAGGTTAAATACTTTTCATTGTGCGCCGTAAAAAGGTCCATGTGTACTATTTCAAGCGGTTTCGTCGCGGGGGGAACAATATTGAATTGAGGTCTAATGGGATTTCTGTCATATTTCGTCTGACCACACACTGTGCACTCGTTAATGTATTTTTTAATCTCTTCTTTCATTTTCGGCCAGTAGTACTTTCGCGAGAGGGACAAATAGCTTTCGTTAATTCCTCTGTGGTTTGTTTTTCCTTCGTGATATTTTTTTATGATTTCCTGTTGTCTCAGGTATTCCTTAACGTCCTCTAGTTCAGTCTTTGCTAAGACTAAATTCATAGAGGAATTTTTGAAATTTTTCTGGACAACAGGAATGATAGAGTACATTCCCAACGGCGGCGGTGTGATTTTAATAGCGGTCTTTACCTTAAGATTGACATATTCTTTAATAGCATTTACTACATCTTGCTCTAAGGTGGATTCGGATACTTGTATGAATGTACGAGTGTGTGTGTCAAAAGGTTTAATTGCCGTCGTTCGTCGTTTAATGTCTCCTACTATCGTAAAACATATCTGTCGGTGAAATTTATTAAGGGGCTCATCAGTAATGGGGACTTCAAGTATTGGATATTCATTGTCGGTATGAGCTGTTTGGGTGGAAGAGTCAGAAGGGGGTTGTTCTGTAGGATTAGCTATCATTGAGTCAGTTTCTTCATTGTTAATCTCTACCCTGGACAGAGCGTCGGCATTGGTATTATTTTTTCCTTTTTTATAAACAACTGTATAGTCATACTCGCTTAATTTAAGTCTCCACCTTGTCAGTCGGGAATTAGGTTCTTTGATATTCATGATCCATTGGAGAGGCTTATGGTCTGTCAGAATTGTAAACTTACGACCAAAAAGATATGGTCGGAAATACTTTGTGGCCCATACTATTGCTAGGTGCTCCATGTCTATAGTGCTATACTTTGTTTCACTGTCGTTTAATGTGCGGGAAGCATAACAGATGGGCTTGTCCGAACCTACAGGGCCTTGACTAAGTACAGCGCCTAATGCTATGTTGGATGCGTCTGTAGTTAACACAAAATCCTTGTCAAAGTCCGGGTATTGCAGAATCGGGTCATTAGTCAGTAAAGTCTTACATTTTTCGAAACAGTCCGTGTACTCGGAGTCAAATGTTATTTTATTTGATTTTTTCAAACATTTAGTCATGGGTTTAGTGAGGCGGGCGAAGTCAGGAATAAATTTTCTGTAGTATCCCAGAAGTCCCAGAAATCGCTTTATTTCCTTAGGTGTTTTTGGTATTGGATAATTTTTGATAGCGGCTATCTTGTCAGGATTTGGTTTAATACCATCTCTACTGATAATGTGTCCTAGATAAGCGGTTTCTAACTTCAAAAATTCGGACTTGTCCATTTGAATTTTGAAGTTATAATAAATATAAAAAATATGTAAAATACTTTTTCCAAATTTATCATATTATGTTCTTGCAATGAAGTGCTAAAGACGATGATATCGTCCAGGTAAACTAAACAAATTTCGTTTTGCAAGCCCCTCAGCACGTTATCCTTTACCCGTTGGAACGTTGATGGGGAATTTTTTAACCCCATTGGCATGCGTAAAAATTCAAAATGTCCGTGCTCGACATTGAACGCGGTTTTGGGTATGTCGCCCGGGCACATCTCGACTTGATAAAATCCTGATGCTAAATCTAGGGTATTAAAATATTGACACCTGCCAAGCTTGTCGAGGACGTCTGAAATATTTGGAATGGGATATTTATCGTTAACGGTCTTCTCGTTAAGTTTACGAAAATCTACTACTAGCCTCCACTTTTGTTTTCCGGATGCATCGACCTTTTTTGGAACTACCCATATTGGGGAACTGCAAGCGGAATCAGAAGGTCTAATTATGCCTTGATCGAGCATCTTGGTGATTTGATCTCTCACCTCCTGTCGATGTACGTACGGGTAGCGGTAGCTCTTCGTATAAACTGGTAATTCGTCTGTCGTTTTGATTTGGTGTTTGATTTTGTTAGTAAATGTCAAAGTCTCTCCCTCAATATAAAAAACGTCAGAGTATCGTCCACATAAAGTCTCTAAGTTGGCTCTTTCCTCGGCATTTAAATGTTTGGTGCGCAGTCTTGATAGCACTGCATTGACTCGATCGGGGTCTTGTTCGGTGCTCGCGCACTCGGTATTAAACAAGTCGAACTGTACAGTTTTGTCGAGAGTAATAACTATGTCGGAATTAGTGGGATTTTCTGTTTCTATGATGCCGGTCTGATCGGTAACTGCAGTGACACATTCGTGAATAATACAGTTACATATTATTTGTTCGCGAATATACACGTCGCCGTCAGTATTATAAATTGGAACATTAACTAATCTTGTCGTATTGGCAGGAATTATTTCCTGAAACTTGGCCTTTCTGCATGTGTAGCTAGATAAGGGTATGCTTGCATGATCTGTGACTAAGAAATTACTTTTTAAATCAATCTGAGCTCCGTCTAATAAATCTAAGCCCCGCAAACCATCAAAGTGGTTGTGAAATTTATATACAAAGAGTTTTATATCCTTTTGATTATTAAATTCCGGGAAGTTAGGTACTGTAATTGAATAATCGTGTGTACTTGTTACGCGCGAATTATAAACCTCGAAGGGGTCAAAAATCAATGGCAGTCCTAAGAAGTACCTTTTCACTGTTTCGGGGCTAATAAATGACTGATTTGCCCCGGTGTCTACTAGAAATTTGAGGGGAGGTTCAGATATTTGTATATAACGTAGCTCCCTTCTAGATTGCAAATTAAGTTCTATTCTGGTTCGGGGTTGGTACGACCCTTGTGAAAACCCAATTCGTTTTGATTTTTATTAGTTGAAGGCGGGGGAGCCTCCAAGGAAAGCGTCGCCTCTGAATACTGTCCATGGTCATGGTCATACATATTATAATTTTCGGCGTCAGTTTGAGTATAGTCGTAATAAGCGTCATTGTAAGGGGTGTTGGTCATATCTCCGTAGTAGTCAGGGTAGTAATATAAGTCATCACTGTCCGCGGTTTCATTAAAATTCATCTCGCGGACCTTGAAATAATTATTAGGCGGTGGGTTTCCGGATTTACGCCAATCATGGCCTGTCAATCCATGCGGAAGTTGTCTAGATACGAAATGACTTACACCACTCATTGGTTGAGGTCTCGTATTTTGGGGAACATTACGTGGGGGAAACCTGAATGCGTTATGAGGTTGGTAGTTAGGCGGGGGTGCGCGAAACATTTGTTGCGTACGACTGGGCAAGCGTTGTTGAGTATAAGCATTTGGGTGGAAAACAGGGTTTTGCTGCTGCTGCATCATGGGTCTCTGCCAGCTAAATTGGGGTTGCACAAAATTAAATGGTTTTGGCTGTGAGAAAGTAATTAAAGGTTGTACCTTCTGCATCGCAGCTGTCTGTTGGTGCGGGGCTGAATTACCCCTCTTATCAAAGTTTTCATTACGTTGATGAAGGTACATAACATTTATTTCTTCCTGAACAAATTCCAGTGCCTTTTCAAGCGTGGGTAGTCTCATGCAACGAATGCGAGACCCCAGAGGTTCCTTAAAACCTCTTAGATAGGATTGTAATGTGAGCTTCCGATACAGCTCTCGTTTGGCCTCTATAGTCGTGCCAAGGGATTCGTGCAATGTTACATATGTCATTATAGTACTGAAAAGGTTCTGGCACTTGTCGTAAAATTCTACAGGCGTATTGGCTCCCTGACTAAGTAAAGAAAGGTCATTATAGAGTGCTGTCTCGTCCCTTTGGTCTGAGAAATTATTGATAAGGGCATTACGGACACCCTGCCAACTCTCGGGTATTCCGTTCGAATTTATTGTTCTAGCAGCATTACCAGTAATTTTATTTAAAATACCGTTTAAGAGACACAAATTATTTAATTCCGCGCCTGCTTCGTTCTTAATATAATTTATAACTAACTGATCGCATATTCTAATGAACCTCGTAAGGACGTTCGGGTTGCCATCGAACTCTGGCACAGGGCGTAAAGCCTTATAAATTGTATCTGGGTCCATTTCGAAATAACTATAGGTACTATAAAATAATTGATCTAAATTAAAGTCTATCTCTGATTCTAGAGAGTCTAAATTCCTATTTATATCTAATTCCCTATGTCGATTAATCTGCCTTGAGGAGACAGATTTGTCCGCGGATTTCCTACGATGGAAAATTTTGATGGATAGGAAATACAGGGAAGCAACACAATAGTACAATAATTTCAATGTACTTACATATACATCCTCGTTCGGTCCACTGATTGTCAAGTGTAGTCCACGGCCGCGTGCCTACCAAAGTTCGAATATCCGACGAAGCACTAGAGAGTGCAAGCAGCGACTATGCGGAGTCACTAGATTCGATTTTTAGAATATTTGACGCGCGCGCACTGCTTCGAATATCCTACCGACTGCGCCAATTATGTTGGACGCCGCCGCGGGACTCAAAAAAAAACGAAAAAGATTTAAAACAATTTAATTTATGAAGTAAAGAAATTACAATATAATCCTTATTTCTAATTAAGTACTATGCTCGGTCGATGTGAGAACCAGAGTGAATCAGGGGCCGCGACGCCGGTCGCGGTTTCCACGAGGCGAAGATGCACCATCGGCAAATCAGGCGGGTTGCATGTGGCAATCGCTGCTTCACGGAAAATGCCAGGCGGCCACACGGCTTGCATGGAGATTGCTCAACATATGTGTCACTCGATGTTTCCACGGGAGATGCAATGTAGGCATGTTTCATAGTAACAGTTTATCTAACACGCTCATTTCAATTGTTTTTATCATTTCACAACACGGAATTACTTCACAATGTTTATTTATTTGTCAACAAACAAATGGCGGCCATGACCGGCCCGAGCGCGAATTACGACTATTGTATCCAGCGTTGCCAATTTGTAGGGAATTCCCATTGACTTACAAATAAATGGACGACGTATCTAATACAAAACCCACGAAAAAAACGTCTCAAGTCAACCTATTTAAACGTAGTGCCATGTAAAGGAATATGAAAAA